CCCCAAAACCCCAAAACCCCAAAACCCCAAAACCCCAAAACCCCTTAAAAAACTGGAGAAATTGAAATTAGAAATGAGTTTAAGAGGAAAATAGTTATGAAAAATGTTTTAGAATCGAATACGGTTTACTATGAATTTTATATAGTTTGAATCTGATGAGAATGAGAAGAATATGATGAATTTTACTACTATTTTTAAGAGTTTACTGAGGCAAATTTGAAGGATTAAATGGCATTGGAAGCTGAGATCTGTTAGGATCTGAACCAGTCTGAGAGAATATTGGGAGTATCGTATCTATTAATTGCTGATTCTGTTCTGCTGCATTTGAACTATAACCAGAATGAACAATTTTCTCCTATAATACCTACTCTTGAATATTAATAGATGTTTGATTGAGAGAAGGGAGAACAGTCCCCGCATTCTGCATTTGATAAGTATTTTCTCCATGATGCTGAGAAGCTGGTTGATTCATCTAAATTTATCAGACTTTTACTTTACTTGATTGTTCTGCATTATGACACTTCTCAAGTAATTATTCTCTTGGTTGACGATATTGACTCTTTCCAAAACTTGGGTGAATAGAACCTTGAGACTATCTATCTTGTTCTGTAGGACATTAACCTTGCTCTCGAGTGCTTCTACAGAAATAGATGGATTTGCATCATCAGGATTTCCTAAAACAAGTTGAATAATTTTCATAATTTTCGAATGATAAGTCTATCTGGATAAATTTATTCGAACATTTTTCTTCGAATTCTTAGTTTAAATGATTTATCCTTACCTTTAAGTTCTTCTTGAGTCTGTACCACTCCTTCACTTGCTGTAGCAGGATTTGGAGGAGCAGGGTTGGAATATCCATTCGGAGTGTTATCTGTAGGAAGAGCACTCATTTGCTCCTTTGAACCTCCTACCGGGTCACCATTAGCATTAATCTCCTGAAATGGTGACTTGATGTACTCTCCCTCTGGCTTATATTGAATCTTGTTTCATGCCAAAGCTAGTGAAGAAATTTGCCAAGCGGATGCGAACTTAGAAGAGGTTAGGATATACTTCTCATGGTCTGGTAGACACTTAATATGCTTTATTTTCTGTTCATAATTGAGTAGCATCCAGCACTTGACTCAAAGAACCTGTCTATTGGACTTGTTCTTGATACTAATAATTTCCTCTATAAAGGTTTCCCATTCAGGAGATCCTTTCAGTATGTAATCCATTTTCCTTTTAATTATTTTATTGCCAATAAATACTTTTCTTTAAGGGGTTTTGGGGTTTTGGGGTTTTGGGGTTTTGGGGTTTTGGGG